GGAACTACAACCAGGTGTTAAAGATTGAGAGAGGCTTTTTTAGAGCTCCCATGAGATAAAAAATTATTACCAATTGGATTTTAAGTCTATGATATTCTTTAATTAATAATAATATATATATATATATATATATATATATATATATATATATATATATATGTTTGAATAAAAGACAGACCACGTTAAGATTCTATGTAATAAGTTATTTTGCCATAACCCCTTTAACAGGGTTCTGATCATCAGACTTTACTTCCAAAAGCTGAAATGAAAAATTCTAAATCCATTTTTTTACTGTCCAAATACTTGTTAAAATACTAGTAAAAAAATAGATTTAGAATCATCTATTGAAAGAAAAGCATTGTCTAAAGCTCACAATATATTCGTAAAACAATTATAAATGCAAATAAACAGCAAAAATAAATTATTTGACAATATAGGATCCTATATCATTTTTTTTTACTGTCCAAATACTTGTTTCACCTCACTGTATGTATCTTTGTGTGTGTGTGTGTGTATGTATGTGTGCGTGTGTGTGTATGTATGTGTGCGCGTGTGTGTGTCTGTATCTATATTTAAAGACAATTATTATTTCCAAATTGCGAATAATTCTTTTCAGACAAAGAGGTAATTGTGCGAATTCCATTTCGGAAGAAATGTAAAACAATATGGTTCAAGCTTACGACTTTCGAACTCACTATCAGAATCCATAGAGACAAATGGTTCCTTTCGTAGAACTAGTGAGTGTTATGACGTAAGTAACGAGTGTTATAACGTAAGCGAGGGGATGAAGTGCGTTTGTGTGATTTTTTTTTATATACAAATGTATTTAATTATTGATGATGATGATTGTAGCATGAGTATTGCTTCGATGATCAGAAGCCTGTTCTTATTATTTTGCTAGTATTTTGGTATTGTTTTTGAGTAGCTTTCTAGTTTTACTATGATTCTTCTGCTACTTATTAATATGTTGCTTGATGGCACTGAGGAGGCACGGTGGGGCAATGGATAGCGGTTCGGATTGAGGAATCGGTGTTCGAATTCCAGTTGAATCCGTTACATACACTTATGTCCTAATACCCTTCAGAAAGGTATGAATCCTATTCTTCTCCGCCCCCCAGCTATGTGTAAATAGCAGGGTAGATCGGGTGCTATAGCCTTGGATGGCAAGTGATCTATCGCAGAAAGAAACGTCAACCTACTGCGGGGAAATATCTGCCTAGTCAGTCAGGTATCGATAGATACATGATAGCCTAAGCGTGTATCACGCATGGCACATAACCGACTGACTGACTGATGGCACTATCATCTGACAGGCGACAGAGCAGTCCTCGTGCAAGTGTCGTTGCAAGACGTTTTGTGGTTTAATTTACAGTGATTTTACCCAAGTTGCATTGACCTTATATATTGTCTTACTGGTACTTTTCTTCCAAAATGAACTTTGGACAATTTCTGAATGAATTTAATCCTTTTCTTAAAAGGGTTATTATAATTTAGGAAAATCAACCTGTAAAATTAATCGACAGAAAATTTGTTATTCTTTTGCAGGTGATTTAAAACAGATAATAATAATAATAATAATAATAATAATAATAATAATAATAATAATAATATATCAGGTTGCACGATATTGGCATCTACTGAATAAAAAACCCGGCATGACAGAGTGGGCCAATATCTGCACTGGAAAATCTGCAACTTCAACGGGAAGGAAACTAAAAGAAACTGGTATGAACACCACCCAGACCCGGTTACGGAGATAGGACCTGTTACAATTTTATTGGACTACACAATACACACTGATAGAACAATCAAAGCCAACCGCCCAGACATTGTTATTAAAGAACACAAACAAAAAAGTGCCTCCTTATTGATATGGCAGTCCCTGCTGACTGCAATGTATCTTTGGAGATATTCAAAAAGCTGTAAAAATACAAGGATCTTGAAATAGAAATCTCGAAAATGTGGCATATGGGAACATCAACCATCCCTGTTGTAGTTGGAGCCCTAGGAATGGTTGGAAAAGATTCCAGTAGACTAATTGAAGGGATTCCTGGAAGTCGATACAAAAAAAATGTTCTGACAAGTACAGCGTACACTTGACGAAGGGCTTTGTCTATGTATTTTTTTTTTCAGTGGAAAGTGTCATGATGCCATTTCTAACCTTAGGTTCCTGGGCGGGACCCAGAAAGAAATGTCTAAGACTAATTGAAGGGATTCCTGGAAGTCGATACAAAAAAAATTGTTCTGACAAGTACAGCGTACACTTGATGAAGAGTTTTGTCTATGTATTTTTTTTCAGTGGAAAGTGTCATGATGCCATTTCTAACCTTAGGTTCCTGGGCGGGACCCGGAAAGAAATGTGTAAACGCCAGAAATCAAAGAAAATAAATAATAATAATAATAATAATAATAGTAATCAGTCATTAAGCATATACCTTCTTCCACTGAATTTAGAATCAGTTCGAACCCTTTTAATGAAGAAGTTTTATATAGGCATTAGGAAAATGTATAACTCTACTCATACCACTCATGGTATTGCCATTCCACCTTGATCGTTGACTTCAGCTAGAAGCCATCCACCAAGCGATTCAGTGTTATCAGAGCACCGTCTGCATAGATATCTATGATGTCCAGTCTGCATCATTTTGCAAAATGTCCGTCGACTCTACAAGAAGATGCCTTCCCACTTTCATAATGCTGCTGATTGTCTAACCACCCTCTCACCAGAAATCCTGGTAGGAGAACTAGTTTAATCGTAGATGTTTTTTACCAAGTAATAGTGGATTGCATAACAGAATCCATTGTATATGTGTGTGTTTTTTTTCATCAATTGAAAACCCTGGAAATATTCAATTATATGTGGGATCCAATAGAAATGCTTTTAAAAAACGATATTATAATCATGTATCTTCTTTTACTAATGCTAGCAAGCACAATAAATATTTCTGGAAATTGAAAGAAAAAAAAAACACCCTTAGTTAAATGGAAGATTTTCAAAATCTTATATATATATATATATATATATATATATATATATATATATATATATATATATATATAAATCCTATTTTATTTTAAATATAAACCATAGATCTCATTTATCTTAAATACTATTTGTTTATAGTCTCAGGTCCGTTTATTTTAATACAAATTAAAACAAAATAAACATTAATCCCTGTTTATGCTAAATATAAATTATAAATCCCCTCGATTTTAAATATTTTTTTTATTGATTAAAGTCCATTTATTTTAATACATGACCTTTTAAAAATACCACCAATCCCCGTATATTTATATATAAAATAAGTCCATTAATCCCCATTAATTTTAGTATAAAATATAAATCCCGTCTATGTTAAATACAATTTAATGGACTCTGCTGGCATTGCATTAAGCAGATAATTTTATTAACATTTAAATTATGTATCGGTCAATCTCTACTCAGCACATGAAAAATGCGTCGTGCATGAAACTCCGAGTCGTTCTACCGGTGAGGAATTTTATATATATATATATATATATATATATATATTGGCGACATTGTAAAAACTTTTTGTTGACAACGTCTTTGTTAGGTAGTTAGATAGACATTTTTACGTCAGAAGGAAAGACGAATCTATGTTTGTTTTTAATATTGAAACTGTTAATGCCTGTTCGGTAGGCGTGTTCCGGAATGAAATAACGAAACTGTTTTGTTTTATATAATAATAATAATAATATTAATAATAATAATAATGATAATAATAATAATTATTATTATTTTTACAATTCTATGGGACTACACATGTGACTACACAATACACACTGACAGAACAATCAAAGCCAATCGCCCAGATATTGTTATTAAAGACCACAAACAAAAAAAGTGCCTCCTTATTGATATGGCAGTGCCTGCTGACTGCAATGCATCTTTGAAGATATTCAAAAAGCTGTCAAAATACAAGGACCTTGAAACAGAAATCTCGAAAATGTGGCATATGAGAACATCAACAATCCCTTTTATAGTTGGAGCCCTAGGACTGGTTGGAAAAGATTGCAGTAGACTAATTGAAGGGATTCCTGGAAGTCCATGCCTCAAGGAGATACAAAAAATTGTTCTGACAAGTACAGCGTACACTTTACGAAGGGCTTTATCTATGTAATATATATATATATATATATATATATATATATATATATATATTGTCAGTGGAAAGTGTCATGATGTCATTTCTAACCTTAGGTCCCTGGGTGGGAGCCGGAAAGAAATGTGTAAACGCCAGAAATCAAAGGAAATGATAATAATAATAATATTTTTTTTTAATTCAATAATTATTGCTGAACTTCAGATCTAGCCCACACCGAGTAGATCCGCCGCTACTCCCACTACTCGTTCGCATACTGCATTTTGCGACTATTGATCGGTGATACTATGTATGAGCCTGGTCTTAGGTTTATTGTCAGGTAGGCAATGTGAGATATATATCTTACTAACACGCATGTTTATGCATGTATGCGTGTGTATTGCTTTCCATATTTTCCCAATAGCCAGACTTTAATAATGATACATTTTCTACTTTTTAAATACATTTTTTTTTCAGTTGCGGGGGCTTTCTTCTTGTTATACTTTTCGATTTATGCGCCGAAAAGGTAATCAATATATGCTCAGTATGTTCCTTCCACCTGAGATCTCGACTGACTTGTCCCTTCATTTAAACTTTAGAATTCTCGCACGTGAAATGGTGTGCTTTCACCTGAAAGCATTTATTACAAAAAGACGCTGACGCCATTGGAAGCAGGTGCCTCAAAGCGACGGCTACAGAAGCCGTGATGCCAAAGACCGAGAGGTGTTTTGGAACTGCGTCTTTTATTTATTTATTTTTTTGTTTCCAATAAAGAGGGGGGCAGTTGGGTAGGTGGTAGTAGTAAACAGGTCAATGTACGAAGTGATCTGTCAGAAAGGGAATTCGCAGAGAAAAAACAAAATTAGAATTGGAAATTAAGAAAGAAAGAAAGAAAGACTAGTAGGATAGCAAAAGAAAAATAGAAAAGAAGGGATGAAATGAAAGAAAGAAAGAAAAAAGGGATAGAATGGAAGAAAAAAGGAAAGGAAAATGGATGAGATGAAAAGAAAGAAAGAAAGAACGAAAGCAAAAAAGTATGAACTGAAAGAAAGAAAGAAAGAAAGAAAGAAAGAAAGAAAGAAAGAAAGAAAGAAAGAAAAGAAGTAATGGAAAGAAAAGATGAAGAAAGGAAGTAAGAGAAAGAAAGAAAGAAAGAAAGAAAGTAGTAGAAAGAAAGAAAGGAATGAAATGAAAAAAAGGAAGAAAGAAAAAAAGCATTAAATGAAAGAGAGAAAGAGAAAAGGGATGAAAAGAAAGAAAGAACGAAAGCAAAATAGTATGAACTGAAAGAAAGAAAGAAAGAAAGCAAAAAGTGATAAAATGTAAAAAAGAAAGAAAGAAAGAAAGAAAAAGTGATGCAAAGAAAGAAAGAAAGAAAGAAAGCAAAAAGTGATAAAATGTAAAAAAGAAAGAAAGAAAGAAAAAGTGATGCAATGAAAGAAAGAAGGAAAGCAAGAAAGTAAGAATGAAAAAAGAAATAGAGTGAAAGAAAGGAATGAAATGAAAGAAAAGAAGAAAGAAAAAAAGCATGAAATGAAAGAGAGAAAGAGAAAAGGGATGAAAAGAAAGAAAGAAAGAGGAAAGGTATGTAATGCAAGGAAGGGGAAAAAAGGAATAAAATATAGAAAGAAAGAATGAAAGGGAAAATAGATGAAACGAAAGAAAGAAAAAACGAAATAAAGAAGGAGAGTAAAAGGAATGAAATGAAAGAAAAATGGAAACAAACCGCAGAGTGTGGCAAAACACTTAGAATGCAAAAAAATAAAAGTTAACTTTTTTTTTCAATTTATCCCAAACAAGGCGATAATGCCCCTAAGACGCATGGGGGGCTACTCGAAGCAAAAAGAGAACAAAAATGCTTTTGAAGAAACTGAAAGCATAATCCTAAGCAGGAAACAAGGGATAAACCTCTATTCGTGTGTAAAAGACCGGAGAAAACCACGAACAGGACAATAGGCGAACGTATCTACTCCTATTCAGGAAAAATAATAATAAATAAATTTTCAGAAAGAATATGCGATATTATATGTCCTGACCTGGCATTTCCTCTTTCATCATTTCCCCACGACTGTAAATTAGCTTCCTTTTGCATTTTCGATAAATATTTTAATGATGATTGTCCTGACGATCTTTTCTCTTTGAAACCTTGATTTTATGAATCGTATTGGCGTCAAGGTCTCATGAATAAAGTTCAAATATATATATATATATATATATATATATATATATATATATATATATATATTAAATCATTTTTCAACTTCTTCAAGATGATCTTCGCCCTCTTTAACGTTCTAACTTTCTGTCCTGGAATAACAAGATACCTCACAGGTTTCACGTACGATTTCATTTTCAAGCTTTGTCACCGTTCATTAAACTGCCATAGCTGAAACTCCCTCTCTCTGCCAAACGTCTAAGGAATTGAATTGGATTTTTGTCTAATTGATCCCTTTAGCTCTAAGTTGAACTGATGACCACTTTTCTTGTGTTGATCTAATTTTCCTCTCTACTGTTCCTTTTTTTTTTTTAAATTTATTCGCCGTTCTCTTGATGGTTCTTGAATGGACTTTGAAGATGGAAGCCAGAGTATGAATGTTGGTAGCATTACTGAAAGCCTGAATTAAGGCAGTAATATTCCATTCTCATTCTGATCAGTCTCTTGTAAAGAGTATAATACCAGGAGTTATCTATTTTCTAGGGAGATACAATGAAACGGCCATTTTTCTAACATCTTTTGTGATAACAGGAATATACGTGTTTAGACCTAGTAGGCGTTCGATGAAAGGGGCCTCTTTGAAGCTATAACCACTCATCAAAATCAGTATAGCTTTAAGGTCCATTCGGATGGGAAGGATTGTTAATGCTGTTGCTATAGTAATTAATATGTTGCTATAGTAATTAATATTTCTTAGTAATTAATAGTTACATATATTTTTTTATACTTCAGTGAAGCAGTTTCTAATGCATTCAATCAATTACGTGCCATGCGTGATACACGCTTAGATGATCATGTATCTTTCGATATATGACTGACGAGACGGATTTTTCCATTTCTTTCTGTGGTAAACCAGTTGCCATCCAAGGCTATAGAACCCGGTTTGTCCTGTTATTTACTCATAGATGGACGGAGAACAAGAGGATTCATACCTTTCCCAAGTATAGTCTCACGTAAGTGAATGTAATGTATTTAACTGGAATTCGAACTCGGCTCTCCGATTCCTCAGTCCGAGCCGCTATCCATTACTCCACCTCCTAAGGCATTAATAGATTTATTTCTAATCCAACATTTTTTTGTTAATTCAAACCTTATTTTTAGTAGATATCTGTATTTAAATACATGCCTTGTTTCTTTTTTAGACTGTGTGTATTACAACTATCCAAGCAAGGTGATAATGTCACTGAGACGGAATGGGTCACTGAGGACGAGAAGACAGTAAAGTACGGAATTTAGGAAGGCAGAAAATGGCGATTGACGTTGGATTTGAAGATCGTCGGTGGCAGAGAAGCAAGAAATACAAAGAGTGTTTCATAGGTGCGAATTGCCAGGAAATAAATTATTCGAATAGAATTTATTATATTATCCCAAGAGTAAAAACGATGAGACCTTGTTGCTAATCTCTTTGTACGTTTAAATTCATGCGCTCGAGATAGTAAGGTGGATAGCCCACTAGAACAATTACAATTAAAATATAAGAAATGGCATAGGGAAGCCACGTCACGTCGGTGAGAAAATGCCTGATGTCAAAATACAGGACCAGGATCGATAACATTAAAGAAATTATTTTTTATTTTTCGAGAATCCCTAGATATATAGTAGAAACACCAGACAAGACATGGCAGCAATATCCAGTGCACGGACAAATGATAGATTTATAAATGTTCACGATTCTGAAAAGAAAAAAATGGCCTGGTATGACAGCGAACCAACTTGTCTGAGAGCAGACCTAGCAATTGATTCAATATCACTAAGCTTTAAAATAATTTTACCAAGTTACCCCCTTTTCATATTCAAGAAACGAAAGTACTTTTGTACACTTGGGTAGCTGATGTTTGCATAGTAGTAAACGGAAACTTATATAGACTTCGATGGTGTGCGAAAAGTTTTTCTTATATATGCTGATATGAACAACAAAAAAGATAGGCATGTAAAGGAATATAGATTATTTCATCGGTATGACCATAGATAGATTTAGTGCGCACTTATTTCAAGAATATGTAATTTTAGTGAGAAAGGAGGAAAGAAAGAAAGATGAATAGAGAGAAAATGAGAAAGAAATGTATGCGTTTTTATAGGAAATTAATTGGGAAAATAAAATATATGGATACAACTTTCGAATAGAAATTGAAGCCACAAAATTGTGTCCAAAGTAATTGCTATGGAATTGTTTAGGAAACCTTAAATCGGACTTTTTGTTTTCATCAAAATTTCTGCAGACGTATCACTAAATCTATATCAAATACAAGTCCTGTTACTTCAATGTCAGCTTTTTATGTTCTCATTGCTCAATTGTGTTTTACATTTGTCGGCAATATTTCTACATTATAGTATAGTTTCTCATATAATTACCATATTTGGCTGTGTATATGTCGTCATATTTTAGAAAAATGGTTGAAAAAAATACCCTTAGCGCTGATATGCGATGTTGTGTCCACATTTAATGCTAATGGTGATAGTGAGATTAGCAGTTTCCTTATAAGAAAAAATTCGCTCATTCACTGACAAAGCAGCCAGCGCTGCCGTCGATAGAAATGAAAAAAAAAATTCTTTAAAACAACTTTTTAGGAAAATAGATTTCTCGAGTACACTAGGTGTTATGGTTCTTTCCAGTATAAATAAGGTGGTGGGGGAGGCTTCCTTCCTTGCCTTTTTCTTGAAGTTGTGTGGAACGCCATCTTTTTAATTATACTATGATTCTCACTTTGAGTTATAAGTTCCATAAGATTGCATGTGATGAGCTTTCTATTATCTGGTACAGTTCAAGCGAATGCTAACACTCGCTACCATAGACTATAATTTTACCTTCTCCCTAGCCCGACTCCATATTAATATTATTTACATTCTTCTTCTTCTTCTTCTTCTTCTTCTTCTTCTTATTATTATTATTATTATTATTATTATTATTATTACCACTACTGTTATCGTAAAAAGATGGCAGCTTGTACCGACGAACGTCACCGATACCAGCTGTTCCATCACTTCTTAATATGCCATAACACATTGACAGCACATTACCCAGTTGAAAACTACACAACTGAAAGCAAAGAACGGTAATAGCAAAACATTATTCTGTGAGATATAACATTAAGCCTGCAGCGAATATTTTCGCTATATTTTAATCCCGCAGCAAATGTGTTCGCTATACAAACGCTGTGTTTACATTGTGATTTCGGGTGTAAAATTCAGCTGTACTGCTAGCCTTTTTTTTATATGCAGTAATGTTTCTTTTCGTCTGTTTAGCTCTGTCATTTTTATATTGGGCCTCATTCCTATTTGGAAGGTCTAGAATAAGAAATCTCTGTTTGATATCGTTTGACTGACTCCCTCGCTGACGTTCGGCGTCACGGTGCCAAAACAGAAACTCATGAACATCTCCTCTATTTTGCTGCTAATTCTAAACTTATGAGCCTGGGAAATCAGAACTGCAGCTGATGCTTGAGCGATTCTCAAGGATTCCTAAAGTGTTTTGCCTAACAATCAGTCTCGGCAACAGTGAAGTGTTTTATTAACCATTACCAAGAACAGTCTCCCTTACACCAGTTATGGCCATTGAAAGCGCTTCGCATTCAAACGTCGATACCTTCAAATGGCGTGTAGCACCATCTACTGGGATGATTCCCTTGACAAATAAATCGACTCTTAAATTATCAAAACAACTGAGTGCTCCAACAGCGTTGCATACGCCTTCCAACGAAACTAGCAAGTGTACAATACAATCATCATCCCTTCTCTCCTCAGCTGACGTGATTCGTGGAACTTGTACCGCGGGCACTTGAAGAAATTGGAAAAGATCCACATGCGGCTCTTTGTTTCCATACTTGGAGTCGCGTTGCGGGATCGCATAACTAACCTTGAAATTTTGGAGCGTGCAGAATCGACCAGCATTGAATCAATGCTCCTCAAGGCACATGACCGATGGACTGGCCACGTCATCCGCATGAATCACATCGCATTCCAAGGGAGTAGAGTCAGACAACTGCATCTCCTTTCGCATACACAACGTTCGCAAATATATTTGTTTATTCGAAGAAAATACGCGAGACAAAGAAACAATAGTAATTTACACGCAAACGTTTACTGAAGAAGAACTTTTTTTTATTTTTTAGGTACTTTTTTTCTAATTAGTGTATTTATTTATATACTTCATCTGGCCAAACCGAAAGGTTTTAAAAGCTGGGAAGCAATTCTGTAGGTCATAGAATCTAGTCCCAGCTTCCCAGTTTTATAGAAGTAAAAAGATTTTATTTCAGATTTATAGCCACGGTCAGTAAATCTGCCAACTCCTAAAGATAGTTTTAAAATGAAACGTCAG